GAGGGGCGCACTGTTTCCAGCGCCGAAGCGTCCCGCGTTGGCAGCAGGTCCCATCATCGCCTCCATCTGGTTGCACACCTGGTAGGCACAGGTGTGTTGGGGTAACCAAGCTTGCCCATTGGGGTGACCACCCCTTGGCCACCTCCTTGAGCCAGACACCCACCCACCTGCAGAAAGTTGTAGCTGCGACGCTCGTAGCGTTTGAGGGCCGGCCGGCTGGAGAAGTAACCCGTCCAGAACTCGTGGGGGCCGTCGGCGTAGGGGAAGAAGTCATCCTCTTTGACCGACCTACGGAGGCGGGCACTGAGGGCAGCAGAGTCAGGGCACACTTGGCATCCCGCTTACCCCAGAACCGTCCCCCGCTAAATACCAGGTGAGGTTGGCCTTGTTCAGCTCCTGCAGGTAGCAGGCAGGGGTGGAGTAGAGAACGTGGACTCGGCTCCCGCTGGCCTGCTGTTGGAGGGAAGAGGGGGTGCGTGTATGAGTCCTGGGGGAGTCCTGCCTTCCTGGAAGCACAAGGTGAGCTCATTCCAACGACTTCACCCCCACTCCAGTCGGATGATCAAGACAGACACGTGAATTTCACCTCAGGTGAAAATGAAAACCTGACTGCTGAACTATTTCTAGCTTTTCATTCAATTTGTCAGAGTGGTCTTTTTGAGCATTCCTGAGTTCCAGTATTGTCACTTGTGTTCTTCTCCCCCTTCTCTATTTCTAATTTTTCCTAGGGTTGCTCAAAGTGACTGAAGACCATTGCTGGAGTCTCCCTCATGGAAAGATGCATAGTCCTCTCCTCTTCTAGGAGAGAGCTCCTCTAGGTCCATGTCTCTATGTGTTGCAATTAATTGATGTGTAGATTCTAGTCTGGGGAGACTAAAGAAGCAAATTCATAGACACTCATATGTGTATAAGGAAGCGCTTATATACAAGAGCAATTGAATATTGAGAAAACATCCCAGCCCAGTCCAGATCAAGCCCATAAGTCTGATATTAGCCCATATGTCCAATACCAGT